AGGTTTTGGTTCTTCCGCCGCTTTTTCTGGACTAAGGGAGGGGGGCGGGTATTTCCCAGTGGGCGGGTTAAACCTTACTTTTTTTTTGGGGGGGGGGGGGGGGGGAGACACGGCTGCGCTGAAAGCCATGAGTCTTTTTGGGCTGGGCAGGTGCGGTGTGAGGGTTTTTGGTCGTGGGTTTCGTGAGACTGGTGATTTTTTTTGCGCGTTTTGGAGTGATTCGAGTGTGATTTAGGGCTGATGGGACGTGGGTTGGAGTGGTTTGGGTGGGGGGATTTTTGTTGGATTGAATTTGTTTGCTAACGTTGGTGTTTTGTTTTGGATTCAGGAATCAACGTACGTTCCGTCCAAAGAAAAGTACTCCGTCCGGGAGTAAGGTATGAGCGATCAGCGAGCTGTTACTGTGTTTCTGGAGTGATGTATAGGTCAATTTAATTGTGATTTACTGCTGAGGGAAAATTAGAGGCGCTCAATTTCGGATTGTCGTTGGGTGCTCGCCTGCAGGGGGCTGCTCTGCGCAAGCACATTGATGCCACACTCGGTAGTGGAAACTTGCGAGAGGCTGTTCGCCTCCCTCCCGGTGAAGATCTCTACGAGTGGTTGGCTGTCAACAGTAAGCCCTGATTGTCCCGAATTTTCTGCTCTCGGCCTATGTGTTGGGCTTTCAATTTGGCTGGCTCATAGGTTTCACATCTCCTGGCGAACATTTTTGACGTTTTTAGTAAAAAACTAGCAGTGTAATTCTTAAAGCACTTACAGAGAATTTGATCAAGTCTGTAATTTGTGCTACCTCGTTCGAGATATTGGTGGCATGTCACAGTTGGCTGTTGTATAAAAATACAGCTTACTCCGAAATTTCTCCTGCACACAAGGTTGCCTAGGGTGCAAATGTCAAGTGCATGTCTTATCCTTTACATGACGAATTTGGCTATGCCTCTCATTATGTTGCTACACGGTGTGGGGCAGCTGTGGATTTTTTCAACCAGGTGAATTTACTCTATGGAACCCTGACAGAGTTTTGCACTCCCGAGAACTGCCCTACTATGTCTGCTGGACCCAAGTACAAATTCAAACTTTTTTTTGCGTTTCCATATGTGCAGTACTTTTCGAAGAAACTTCTTTGTAGCTCCCCCTTTTTTTTTTGTTTAAATCTTGATAGTTGAATTATCGTTTCCTATCTTGGCGAATATGTTTGTTCTTTGCAAATTTGAAAACGGAAATGGGAGAGACTTAAATCTCCCGCCTGGTAGCGAGTGTGTCTTGAGTGTATGGATGCAACGTGATTATGGGACAGGTATGAGTATCGATGGGCTGACGGGGTTACGATAAAGAAACCTTTGGAAGTTTCGGCACCAAAGTATGTGGAATATCTAATGGACTGGATAGAAGGACAGCTTGACGATGAAGCCATATTTCCTCAAAAAATAGGTCTCGCCAAATTTCCAATGTTTTCGTTTCGAGTGGTTTACCTGCACGTATGATAAATTATCACAATCTTAACAAACTTATCGGAGAACTCAATGAGGGAGTGCAGAGTTAGGCTAGGATCGCAAACAACAAGTTTCCATCTTTATAACTGGTGGTGATCCGTATATTCACACGGATGTTATGTGGCCTCCTCCTACTCCACTATCTTAACGATTAGTTATTTGTGTAGAGAAGCTGCCAATAATTGGGGCCCGTTTAAAGTATTGTAAGTGCTTTGCAAATTTGGAATTTCAGCTGTTGGATTTGACTTGTGTCAAAAAACTTTCTATTTTACAACAGTGCTTCGTTTGGCATTGTAGGGGCTCCGTTTCCTTCGAACTTCAGGGACGTTGTGAAGACTATTTTTAAGAGACTGTTTCGGGTTTATGCTCATATATACCACTCACACTTTCAGAAGATTGTCAGTCTCAAAGAAGAGGCCCATCTGAATACCTGCTTCAAGCATTTTATCCTTTTCACCCATGTACTGCTCCTTGCCACCATTCCATTTTTTCGATACTAGTGTAGTGATGTATACATAGGATTATGTTGGTCCATTGTGAGAGTGTTCATTGACTTGTTGTACGAGGAACCTCTTTACTTCAACATCGAAGTTGCTTAAACATCAGAATTTAGTTCCCCATACTGTTGACTGACCTGATCTTTCTATTATATAGGAGTTTTCGCTGATCGACAAGAAGGAGCTTGCACCACTTCAGGAGCTGATTGAATCGATTTTCGTACCCTATTAACCATGTTGCCCTTTCTCGTGTCAACTATTCTTCTCCTAGTTGGGAATGATGATTTTCTGCAGGAAAGTTCCGGAAAATGCATAGCCTGTGGTTGAACCAGTAGAAGGTGGTGTTGGCTCTGTGAACAGCTGTGTTGAGTCGGTACACGAAGATAGTGTCCACCTACTATGGCTTGGGCAATTTTTAATTGAAGTTAACTGGCAGAGAAAGAGACTATATTTGTGGTCTTCTTGACCGCTAGTTGGTTGTTAGGGACTGGCCTGAGGGAGCGGTGGCACAATAAAGGTCTGCCAGCAGTCAATGTAGAAATTGAATATGCATTTATCCTCAACTACCTAGATTGAAATATTTCTTTGTTCAGTTCAGGAGCCTCCTCCAGTACCTTTCAACTGAATATACACGTACTTCACTTGGAGACTCTTTCTCTCTCCTCAGTTTTGATGCTTCTGTAGAATCTCAAGGTTATAGTCATCTACCTATCTTTGTGTAAAAGCTGGTGGATGGGTCTCTTGATTGTTGCTCATCGTTTTCGGAACGTACATGGTCATTTGTTACCTTGATTAAATCAGTAACTCTCGTAAACAGCAGATCATGATCCGTGACAACTTTACGGAGTTGGAGGACTACTATGAAGCAGCTGCCGCGGACTGGTTTGTGTGACGCAGAGTTAGGGGATGATCACATGAAAATTAAACAGAGCCTCTTTTTGAGTTGAAAACTTGCATATCAACTTGAAGATCAGAGTAACGGCTCGCGCAGATTGTTTAACTTAGAACCGGTGGGCGTGGGAGAAAGCGGCGAAGATGATTAGTTCTCGTCGTGAATTTCCTATATGAAAATATATATATATATATATATATATATATATACCAGGATGGAGGATGTGAGTTGATGAAAACTCACGATCTGAATCATTCTGTCAGAGACAAGCATTCCTGACATGACACACTGCGAAGACTAATGGACGGGAATGTAGAGTTAGAGGATTTGGAAGCTAAAACATGTGGAACATGTCTGAAGTTGGAACAGTTTGGAAGCTAGTCATTTGGTTTTGAACTAAGAGGTGGGGACAAACTGTACGCAACGATCGTTCAATGAAAATGTAAATACAAATCATTATCCGGCTCGTGTTACACTACGAAGCTCTCTGCATGAAACTAAATATCAATATGTGGCAGTCTGGACAATTGCATCAGATTTTTCCACTGCTCAATTCTGGCAATCTACTTTAACAATAGGACTTTCGTTCACGTGTCACTCATTTTCAAAGATGTTGCAGGCGAATGGCCTATAAACCTCGTACGTGTTTGTTTCCATCTGGATTTCGCGAAAATGATTATTTTAGTTTTGGTTTCTGGTTTCCGTTTCCGTTAGAAGTTTCTGGGCGACATCAGTAATATTCTCTGCTGTGAACCCATATTTCTCGAAGACTTTCGTGTATGCGCCGCTGCAACCGAACGTGTAGACAGCCAAGATTTTACCCTTGGAGCCAACGTACTCACGCCATCCGAAAGGGGACCCAGCTTCGACACTGATTCGCTTCTCCATTGCAGAAGGCAAAATTTTCTCTCGGTACTCCTCTGGTTGCTGATCAAACAATTGCCAGCACACAAGGGAGACGACACGAACTTTCTTTCCTTCTTGCCGTAGAGTCTCAGCAGATTTCTCGCACAGGGCGAGCTCTGTGCCTGTTCCAATCAAGATGAGCTCTGGGAGGCTGTTCTCATCAGTATTGTCACTTACGACATAGCCACCCTTTAACACGCCCTCGGCAGAAGTACCACCAACATTGGCCGCCACTTTTTGGCGAGAGAGAGACAGGACCGTTGGCGCATGCCGCCGGGAGATTGCAACCTTGTACGCACCCGCTACTTCTTTAGCATCGGCGGGTCGCAAAACATACATTCCAGGGATGGCTCTTAACCCAGCTAATTGCTCTACAGGCTGATGTGTTGGTCCATCTTCTCCTAGTCCAATTGAGTCGTGTGTCAGGATGTAGATCACACCAGCTTCACTCAAGGCGGACAGGCGCATTGAGTTCTTCATGTAATCGCTGAATATCAAAAAAGTTGCAGCTATGGGGATTAAACCCGAGTTGTGGAGAGCAAGCCCGTTGGAAATGCCAGCCATGGCGTGCTCGCGGATGCCATACCGGATGTTGCGACCCTCGGGTGTTTCGGCGGAGAAGTCAGGAAAGTCTTTCATGTAGACCTTGTTTGAGCTCGCAAGGTCGGCACTCCCACCGATCAAGCCAGGCAACACCTTTGCCACGGCGTTCAAGCATGTCTCCGAGTATCCCCGGGTTGCGTCAATCTTCTCGTCCTCTGGAAAATGCTGCAGCAAACAGAAGCCCCCACGGCGTATGCAAAGTTAGAGTTCTTGAACACGAAAAAAATGTAAAATATAGATTCAAATTATCGAAGAGGCAAGAGATTTTACAGGAATAGCTTTCTCCCAGTCCTTGGGGAGCTCGCCGCTGATGAGCTCCTTAAAATTGCGAGCTTCTTCCGGATACTTTTTCGAATAATCTTCCAACGCCTCGTTCCACTCTTCTTCCTCCGATATACCGTGTTTTGCATGATCTGTAAACTCTCTAACAGACAGAAAACAATATCGGCACAGTTCAGGAAGGACAAGTTCACAAAGGATTGTAATATGAATTCTAATTTCAGACAAGTGAACGTAGATAGTAAGGATTCAAACTTACTCGTAAACTTGAGGGATGACGTAGAATGGCTCACGGTTCTCCCATTTGAGGTTCTTGTGCATATGCTTCACATCGTCCTCGTCAAAGGTGCCGTGGTGAGCTTTAGCGGTGTTCTCCTTCACTGACTCCCGTCCGATGCGTGATTTCACTTGAATGAAGGTCGGCTTATCACTCTTGCCTGCGAAGTTGAGGACGGCTTCTTTGAAAGAGTCAATGTCATGATAGATGTTGTCAATGACGACACGGTTCCAGCCCAACGCCTCAAACCTTGCGCCGACATCCTCCGAGAATGCCAGAGATGTGTCTCCGTCAATGGTGTTGTGGTTGTCATCATAAATCACTGTGAGCTTGTTGAGCTTCCAATGAGCTGCGAGCGACGCGGCCTCGTTAGTGATCCCCTCCATCGCACACCCATCACCCATGATGCAGAACCTGCAACACCAGCATTTCTAGATCGTTAGTACTTTCTAGATGCAAGGTTCAATGAAATCAGTTGTTTTGTGCAGAGGGCCGACAATCCAGAGAGGTTGACGGTTTTGGGTTTACACACGTTCGATGGTCAACGATTTTGCCGTCGTGCTTATTGAAGCGAGCAGCCAAATGCTTCTCCGCTAATGCCAATCCAACTGCATTTGCCACTCCTTGACCAAGCGGACCGGTGGTGACTTCGATACCGTCAGTCGTAACATTCTCGGGGTGACCGGGGGTTCGACTGCCAATCTGACAGAGGCGCTTTAAGTCTTCGATCTGCATCAAAGGTAACCAGTCTTTTTAACAATTCCCCGCCTCAAGTTGAGGTATACTTCAAAGCTCACATATTTCATACAACAATGGTCGATAATGAGTTTTCCCCAATCGATTACCTGTACAGAATCGTAGCCAGAGAGATGCAACGTAATGTACTGCAGAAGACATCCATGGCCGGCACTGAGCACAAAACGGTCACGGTTGAACCAGTTGGGGTTCTTGGGGTTAAACTTCATGACGTAGCGCCACAAGACGTATCCCACCTCCGCCATACCAAGAGGCAAGCCAGGATGCCCTGCCTTGGCTGTGTTTACTGCATCCACGGTGAGCATCCTCATGTTGTCGACGCAACGCTTGTCAATCTGTGATTGGAACCATTTAGAGTCTTCCCAGTTGCCCTCTTTACCACCCAGCTGCCGCAATCGCATCAATTGTCAGAATTTTCTCAGGTATACCACAGCATTGGCTGTGGAATTAGCACCCTAAAAGCATGGATTGAGGTTAAAGCTTACCATGCTAGTGATCTCTTCTTTCCATGCTTTCATGTGCTCCTTAGGGGTTGAGCTTTCCTTGCGATCCACAATCTTCGATGGCACGCTCTGTTTCTGGGTGCCTGGCTGCCCCGTTTTCACCTGCTCATCTTGCAAAGATTGAGAGTCAGCTCGCGCACCATGCGGCATCTTCAGACCTCTGCGGAAGCTGGCAAAAGGATTTGCCTCTCTAAGCTTTGCCAATTTCTCGGGTTTCCAGTTTCCGGTCCACTTTGAAGTTTGTGTTGCCTGCAAACACGAAATGAACCTTCAGATATGGGATACGAAGTCAAATGTAAAGACGTAACGCAATATTTGATGTACCATTGTGAAACATTTGATCATATTTGCTTTCGACGTCTTCGTTTGATTGGCACCGATTAGGGGATCGGGGACAAATGTTTCCCTACCCAAAGGGTTGAATCAAGTGCAAGTAGTAACCTCAACGAATAGAACCTCGAATCCTCTACCTCAACAATCCATCGTGCTTCAACAGGTTAGAAGATATGTCCCAGACTTACTTTAAGTTAAGCGAATTGACATCATCTACCACTAACATATGCGTCACAAACCGCACTTTATCTGCACTCAGACGGAAGTGCCGCAATGTCTTCTATATCACTCCAAGCCAAAAGACGTGTTGGCGTGATTTATAATCTTTCTCTACAGGAAATGTCAATCGGTGAGAACCTCTTATAAAACTCGCAGAGATCACATTGCTTAAGTTACCGTTTACTTTTGCTACCTCATCAGCACATACTTTGGTCTCGCGTCGAGGGTACGTTTCATTTGTAAGACCCATAGATATCTGACAGGAAGAGTGTCGATGGATGGAGAGTACACCATAAGCTACTCTGGACCAGTTTCCACGCACTACATTCTACACACCAAGATCCATGAAAAGCCAGAGAATCAGAGAGGGTATCAGTCGCCACATACTTTTGAGAGACAGGCGGCTGGTTGAGAGCATCTCGGCAACGCCGCACCGGACACCACCGAGCGAGACGCAGGAACCCGCACTTGGGTGCCTTCGTTCAGAGCCCTCGGAGCTCCTGGCGATTTCTGCATCGCCATAGCCGCGGCAGTCGCTTCCATATCAGGCTGCAAGTCTCGGCAAATTCTACGTTTCCTTGCGGAATTGTTCTCGCTCCTTTACTCCGACACGGGTACTCAAAAAAACGTCCGACGCTATGAAATCGTCTCTAAACTGTACACTCGAGTTGGCGGAATCGACCTCTTCCATACAAGGGTAATTGATCTTTGTGGGGATCTAGCTCGCTGTGAGCTGTGGTGATCGATCTAGGCAAGGGATTGTTCCGCGAGGGGTGGGTTTTCGGCAACAAAGGGCATGGCGATTTTGCATGCCAGGTGGAAGAGCGAAAGACGGCGCCTTGTGAAGCCAAGTGGCACGCAAACTAAGCGGCTAAGTGGCAGGCCACATGTATGTGGTGTTGGACTCCCTTTTGATTTCTGTGGGGGTGGGGACTAAGGTTTAAAGGAAGGGAGCGTGAATGGGAACGTGTTCCCTTGTTTAGAATTTTAAAAATGAGATTACTAATGGAAGCTAAATATGATATGATGGATGTGGACATACATTCATCCTGCTGGTATGGTTGCAGCGGCAAGGAATCAGCCGCAGAGGAGCTTACGAATTGTTGCATTTGGAGGCCGTTGCTGTGAAATCCTTCGTCAAATTATCACCATTACCGGTCTCTAATCTTGCATTTCGAAGTTTTCTATTATGCAGAAAAATCCGCTCGTAACCTCATCACTTTTTTGCAATTTTTTACGTGTATTAAGGTGGAGAGTGTTGCATTTTTATAGAGTGCGTTGCTTAATTTGAATATGCTCGTCTTGAGATACAGCTTGCTCTAAATCGGTGTGCTTCTGCGTTGGTGAATAGCTGTTTTTGCGATTATTTCTTTTGATCTTCCAACCCTGAAATTGGTGTGTACATGGACATGAAGTTGAAGTTGTTTTGTCGAGGTTAAGGGTCGGAGGAAAGCTTGGAGCAGAACTGGAGCAATATTGCTGATCCTTGCTTGCATTGGCGATCATGATGCTGCATGGTATGTGTTCGGCGGTAGCTTATGGCTTTGCTGAAAAATTTCGAGATGTTCAAGCTTTTCTAGATGTGTGTGAGAAATCTTGGGTTCGAGGCCACAGTGGCAGCGGCGTTGCATTTACTGGAGTTGATTCCATGTCTGAATTTAGATGTTTACGAGTGCGAAAAAAGTCGGAAAGTCTCAGAATTAATTCATCTCCTTCCAATTCTTCCCACTCTACTGGTGGTGATATTCCAGTTGCAATACTTTGTCTCTGGGGACGGAAACATGACTCTCGGCAGAACACTTTAGGAAGTTTGGCTGGCGTCAAGAAGCAACGTGGTGATGAGAAGGTGGAAATTACGCTAAACCTTGAAGTATTGAAGCATCAGGCTGGGAAGACAGTTGTGAACACCAAGAGAGCTCTAGTGTCATCAGCTCGTATGGCAAGACAGGTAGGACAATACAACCTGTGTACAAGGTGCTTTAGTAGAATGTGTACAAGACTTTGTCATCTGACATTTGAGCATGCAATCAGTATAATTGTTTGTTTCATCCTTATTCCTCTGAAGCATATTCTAAATAATCATCGGACCTCATTCCTTCTATTTTCCAAAACGCATCACTTCAGCACCATTGGCTCAACAGAAAATTACAAGATAATTGTACCCACTGAAATTAGGAGAGTTGAATAGAATGCAGAAAGCTGACGAAGGATGTTGTTCATGATAATGATGTTGCGCCCATACCTCGAAGGGTTCCCCTCATCGCTTTTTTTACACGAGGATAATTTCTTAGCCTGCAGCAACTGTAAGATGAGAATTTTGAGTTTGATCGGATTGTTCAGGTTGGTGTGACCTTTATGGAAGAGGGAAATCAGGCATGGAATGAACTTCGTACCAGTGTGACGGTTCAGAATGATAACTGCGTGGTTATAGCTGTGAAGCGGTCGACTATTGAGTTCACTGGCCGTACACTTTTATGGACTATTATGATAGTTGTATTTGCTCGTCTTTTTCTCACATTGGCAAGGCAGTTCAAATGGCACCGAGATGAAGGCTTTAACTGGCCCAGAACAGTCAGAGATCGGAGCTTGGGAGAAAAAGAGGTTGTCGTGAATAAAGAACGTCAGCTTTTCCAGAAGGCTCAACGCCGGACATCTCAAGGATTCAGTCATGTGGATTTTGTGAAGGTTCCTTGTTTAGAGAAGGAACCTTCTAGCTCGGGGGTCGGTGCCGAAGTTCCAACGTTCAGAACAAAAAGAGAATCACAAATACCTCCTTGGTGGCCTGATCCGGAGCCAGCACCTACATTGCCGACTGAGAAATATGCACAGGCGCAAGGAGAGACAAATTCTGTTTTGAATGGTATCTAGTCTTGGCATCTTAGTTGCAGTCGGTACCTAAGTGCGTGGTTTATTGTAGTCATCATTTAGGAGCCTTCAACCAAGCAAGTACTGATAAGAAATGTAGGTTAGGTTTCCGGTGATTTCCATCATAACTGTGTTTCTGATTACACTTGAATAACATGAAGTCTAGCTTGAGGGCACAAATCATCCTTTCATTAAGCTTCTTCTCTCCCTCTTCAGTATGTAAGTTGTGGTATCTTCTTTTTTCTGGAGTGCTAACATCCAAATCTACACATTTGTAAGGTGGAAGGGGAGCTGTTTTTTATTCTTGCTCTATAGAAAAGAAGGACGTGTAGTGCTAAGAATGGTGGGCTAACCTTGACCAATTTGATTCAGATATGCTGGAGAAGAAAATGAATGGAGTAGACTTTGAGCTTGGTAACATAATCAAGGTGAGGCAGTCTTGATTTCTTATACCATTTTCAAGCATACTCACCATTTATATAGAATAGGTAGTGAGTCATACTATTCCTAAATTTCTTTTCTTGTGTGAATTTTTTTGTCCTCGTCAACTTGATCGCAGCTACGGGAACTTTGTCGTGATTTTGGAACACAAATCAGCCTTGATACAGCGAGAATACGTGATGTATTTTATGGGACAGCTATTGCGCTTGTCCACGATGCATGCATGAGGTACGGCGGACTAAATCTAACACAATAGGCTCTCCATTTGTTTCTTTTGGTGCATTTAGGTGAGCAATTATATTTCCACCTTTATGAATAAGCCTTATCCTTCTGCGACATTCTAATGTTACATTATTTGCTTCACCAGTCATTGTAACTAATTCAATTAAAACCTTCAAACCTGGATTCTTTTCAATATCCATTAATGTTTTTCTTATACTGACTTCATCAAAAAAATTGTTTCACTTTCACCAGGAATAGTGAGCTCCCGAGCGAGGGCGTGGATAAGTTTGTTGCTGGACTAGCTGGCAATATTGGTTTGGCAGCAGAGGAGGCGGCCATCATTGTTATTTCTTCTGTTGCTGCTCAAACTCGAGCAAGTTTCTTACAGACGTGGGTGAGTATATCCTACATTTTAAGTCCATGAGCTCCAGACGTAGATTGTGTTTTGTACTGATGGAAGACATCAATGACGACAGAAATCTCTCTTTGGAAGGTGGTCTAGCTTTGGATATAAATCCCTGAATTGAGGAGTGAGTTCAGGATGCGGTTCTCGTGACCAGATTTTTCTGAGAGTCTTCAATCGTTTATTTGTGTGCGGATAGGATCTTTTTAGGCGCGGCGAGATAGTTGCATTACACAAGGAGCTTGAAGGATTGGTTCGAGTTCATTCCTGCACCTGCCCTCCCGAGAATTGTGTGAGTCAAGTTACGCTCTCATTCAGATGTGGTTTCAAGTATACTTGATTGCACATACCAGCATTGTCGCAGAAAGGCGAATCACTTGTATGTTTTGCTTTGATTTAAGATACGCATGTTCTTGCAAATATTTGACACCCTTAGAATACTCATAGAACGCAACACCACCTGTCATTGATAATTGCCACTCAAGTTGTACGACAAGAGGATGATCATGCGTTTTAAACGAGTTTAATATATAACCCGATAATCTAGTCAAGCTGCATCATGCAGTAGTTTAAAATTTCCGCCTGAGCTCCAAAGGAATTATCTTTTAAAAAGACTTTTGCTGTAGTGCACAATTAACCTTCCCCTGCTGTCCTACTTCATGCAGCCAGAGATGGAGATTGCTGCTAGAGATCTTGCACACTTATCACTTGAAGATCGACGTTCACTGCTAGATATGTATATCTTCGCTGGGGGCAGGAACACTGACTGGATTGCTAAAGAAGGATTGAACCTTGTTAAGCATACCTGAAATTGTTAAAAGTTATTGGTCTGCACCGGCATAACAGATGACTTCACTGCAGCCTACGCAATCTCTCGGAACATGAAAATCAAGCAAAAACCTTCTCGATACGGTGCTCGTGAAGTGCAATTGTGGTACCCCATTTCCTGTGCTTGACAGGACCAGCATTGAAGTGGGTTGTGGCACGTTAATCAGCGGATTTCATTGTTGTCTACCGGACATTTTTGGCTTCATGCTATTTCCCTAATTCAAAATTTATCTACTTCCAAATCGATCTCCTTTGTTTCACCCAGTTTTGTTGCCATCCTCCTAGAACTAACAGAGAGTGAGAACTTTCTTTACAGTCTTCTTCCACAAGAAGAGACCATTGCGTGCAGATCCGGTGTAGTGATCACCAGTGTCAAACTCTGCAATACTTTACCATTGTCAGAACAACGTCATCAACTGGATTCAGAATACAAGTATTTGATTTAAACTCATGAAAAGCAGGACGAAGGTGGAGGTGATTGCTTCTGTATGGTTTCTTCAACAACCTTTCAATGTGTGATCAGTGGTGTGGTCAACATATGACTCTTGGAGGCATCAATTTGAACAGATGATTTTGACAAATTGAAAACTTCGGATTTCCTGAGATAAAAGATTCAAACTTTTCATCGAAGTGGACCCGACTTGTTTGGTTTTCTTCCAAGGCACTCTTTCATTCCATTGACCACCTTTCATACCCACAATTTGATGCCACGGTCAAGCTATTGGTTCTGTAAGCGTGAGGCGTGTTGACTTGCATGTTCGATTCTACGATGAATTGATCCCGAAATCCTATTTTAAACTCTAAAAAATGAATTACTTCTATTATGACAAAGAAGATCTACTGATACTGCATAAATTACAAGTTAGTTTACAAAATGTAACAAAAAATGATATTAATTATGTATAAGTTGTTCTACTTCTTTAAATGTAAGCTTTAAATTTTTTATGTGCGGTATAATCACTCTATGTAAACTTCTTATTGTACGGTTTAAATAGCTAATTGGCACCAATATAAATTAAAAGAAATAATATATATATATAAAACGGAGTTGATAAAGTTACATCCTAATGTTGTTAAAGCCACATCTTTCCTTGCCATCTCATGATTGATTCCATCCATTCCTATCTTCATCTCCCTTCGTGGCCCCCTTTCATGTCCCTTGTTCCCCCTTCTCCATTTAAGGGATTTTTTCAAATGAACATTTTTTATGCTAATTAAGTAAAATTATATGTGTCACTTAAGAATTTTTTTGAAGTATCATTTTTAAGAAAATTTTTGACAATAAAAAAAAAATGCTTTTAATTTCATTGCTTTGTTTTGAATTATCTATGCCATAGTTAATAAACTTTCACAAAATATAAAAATAGGTGAAAGAAACTAAATTTGTTACTAGTACAAAAATGATGAATTTATAAATAAATAAATAAATAAATTATATGGCTATAGAAAATTAATAGAAAAATTAAAACAAAAAAATGTTCAAAAATCAAATTCATTTAAAAAATTAATTTTACATTGTAAAATGAGTCTTGAAGAATAATATTATTCATTCAAAGTAAGAAAACTTATTCTCTATGTTGTATTTTGTATTATTTAATGGTGTTACATGTGTCTATCTATATGTGTCTATAAATTATTTATTGATAGTATTTTATAATAAAATTTTCACATATGTTTTGGTTGCAAAATATCTACATATACTTTGGGAGGGTTGGAAACAAGGAACAAGGAATGGGGCTAGGAATGGGGATGGGAGAGGTTGGAAACAAAAGATAAAGAACAAGGGCTAGAAACAAGGGACAAGGAGGCTAGGAATGGAGGAGAAGGAACAAGGGTTAGAAACAAAGAATGAAGATGGAGGATGGACAAAATCAATCATGAGATGGCAAAGGGGGTGTGGCTTTATCAACTTTTTATATATATAAATTATTAATGCTACGCCTCTAATTAATATTTCTACACCCTAATTAATACATTCTACATGGTGAAGGGGCAATGCCTTGTGAGGATCTTTGTAGACAAATTCCTTCCAAAAAAATAAAAAATAAATAAAAAAATAAAAATTGACATTGTATGTAAAATTTGATTTTGTATAGAAGAGGTTTGTCTTTGGAATCCTAGTCTCCTAAATCATCTCTGCTACATTCTTTGGTTGATGTTGGAAGCTCCATCAAGTATAGCTATGGCTGCAAGTATCATACAAGCTCACTAGCAAGGGTGTATTCTATGCCAAACCAGTCCTTTGGAGAAGTTGCAAATTATTCTATGTATCAAATACAATTTAAGAGATTAGGGTGTGTAAAGACAAACCTCCTCAATTCAAAATTAGGTTTTGCAAATGGACTCATTTTTTTTTATTTTTTATTTTTTATTTTTTTTAAAGGGGCTTTGTCCCTAGAGAACCAAGTAGGGGTACTGCCCCTTAACCCTATATGTTGATTGGTTAGTGTGACTATTACAAAGAGGCACCGTACCTTCCTTGAACCCCCACAATTGTGCCAAGTATTAATTAGAGTGTAGCAATATTAATTAAGGATATATCACTAAATATTCCTTATATATATATATATATATATATGTCATTTCATATATATCATTTTATAAAAGTTACATTTGAAATACGTAATAACAAAATTTTGCACATAATATTGTATGTCATTATAGTACTACAACACTCTATATTTGTTAAACTGACAATTTTGCAATAAAAAAAAAAAAAAAAAAAAAAAAAAAAAAACTTTGACAGTAATCAATTCAAAGCTTAACATTTTAAAAATAATTTCAATAGTTTAAAACAAAATAAGGGTTAGATTTTTTATTCTTAGTGCAATAAATACTTAATATAATAATTTCATCAAAAATATTATATATGCAAAAAAAACATTCAATTTGTGCTGAAAAGTTAATAAAATTTTAAAACCCTTATTAATATAATAATTTCACAAGCACACATTGATAAAGGTGTAAAATTAATTATGGAAGATGTAGAGTTTTAATAAATATTATGAAATTCCTAGAGATTATAAACAGACACCACTTTTAAAGATGTCCATCATAAATTCTAAAAATATTTGCTTTCATTCCTTTATCCATAGACATAAATTAATATTTTTTTTAAAAATACTATGTAAATTGCAATGTCCCGAATGCATGGTAATCTATAGAGGTGCCAGACATTTCACATCCAATTCTACATTCATACAATTTTATACAAGATTGTAAGGTTTTTATTATCCACATAAAATTATTAACACTCATTGTACATTAATACATACTAATTAATTTTGGTAGATTATTTTTTGCCCTTGTAAACCACCATAATTTAAGTTCATAATATATTAATTAATTATGCATTCTCTCAATCAAATTTTGATTAAAGCAATGGATCTTTGAATTTTTGGGTTGATTCTAACTATGTTTCAATTTGTATATTTAGTTATCAGAACTTTTTCTACTTGAAGAATAATTTGCACTAAACATATTCATATTTTTTCAGTTATGAGATGTGAAAGTAAATTAACTCTCACAAGCTAAACATGCAAATCTCTAGCAGATATTTCAATAATTTGGCACAGTTATAAGTCATAAGAAAATACAAGAAAAACAAAAACAAAAAAATTGAAAAGCATACTGTTATGTACAGAGCTTCTTAGAATAATCAGTATTTTTTTTTATAATATTTCAGGAAAATTAATTTTCCAAAAACAGAAGAAGAAGAAGAAGAATATATATACATAATTTTAGAAATTCATGAAACTAAAAAACATTTTAATCTAGTATTAATATTCAATATAAGTTGAATTCGTTTAAAGAATTTTCTGAAACAAAATCTCAAAAACCAGATACTGAAATGAATATCAACTTTCACCAAATTTACTTCTTTGTTCAAAAATTGAGTTTCTTGTAGTATCACAATTTAATTACAGTTCATAATAAAAATCTGTAGAAGTTATATGATTCCAAAATTTGAAGTAAGGATTTTTATTATTTATTTACTTCATATATTTATTTTTGGCCTTTTGTGCAAATTCCAAGTTCATAATTTACATTGATCCATTCTAAACAATCTTCAAACTTGGAATATTTTCATCAAATATAATATTATGTTCAATAATACAAACATAACATACCACCATTGAAGAAACACTTAACAAAGTTACCCTACACGACAACAATCATACTAAAGCCTTCAAAGTATTTGATAAAAATAATTTAAAAAATCAATTAATAAGGAACTTTTGGTTTAATTAATGTACCAGTGTAAAGGTAGAGATCTTGGGCGCCTCCAAAGGAATTGGCGTCCTCCACGTGGCTAGATTTTAATTTTTGATATATGGGTTCAGCCAATGGCCAAGCCTCAATCCGCGACTGCCAGCTTGGAATTTAATGTACAGTGGGACCCAGTCAAGTTGAACCTTGAGGATGACGTGGCGTACGGCTTGCCACGAGGGAATTGCTGAGTAGGACTGCACATTGCTGATGTGGTCAGCATTCGATGGGTTCGTGGAGCCAAGTCATTAACCTGGAAACCAATCCCCATGATACTCCCACTGTACCCAATCCAGGACTAGACTCAACAATTTGTTCAGAAATTTAAAGGATAATCTCTCTCTCTCTCTCTCTCTCTATATATATATATATATATGTATGTATTTTTACAAAGAATTTTTTATGTTAATTTTTAGAAAAATTAAATGATTAAGTAATCTGTGTAAATTTTGTTAAGTGTTTTAGAGATTTGCAACTGATGTGCTACAATTTCTAACTTGATTTATTTACATGAGCTAATTTGAGTAAATTTGTAGGTAATTATCATTGTTGGTCTATTATGTCACTTAGTTCCTATTCTACTGAAACACACAAATGTCATGGCAGTTAAAAATAATTATCTGGAATGAAGTAAAGAGAAGAATAGTGCTAATATGTTATAGTAATGGCCTCTAATTTCTTTACCAAAAGTAGTATTTCTCTGTTGAACATTATGTTTATAAATTATTTGGTACATCGTATTTTGATGATTATGAAAAATAGAACGATTTTATTTTATAAAAACAATCAGTTCATGAAAAAATAAAAAATAAAAAATAAATTGAGTGATCAGTTTAAAATAAAATAAAAAATCTCAAAAATTACAAAGACAGTGTATAATCTTGCAATCTTAGCATAAACATGTTTTTGTATAGAATAACAAAAGGGTTGAGGTTACAAGTACACTTAATAAGTGTTGATGTACTTTAGAGTGGTTAGTAGGTTAATTTAGAGAGAGTTGATGTAAGAAAATTTATTTTGAAGTCTACTTATGTTGATTATAGTGATTAAATTACACAGTATTTGGGGTTCAACGATGAAGGTCCAAACCTCTATAAAACTTATTTGGAGGGATGAAAGCAAGGTATGGATGGATGAAGGCAAAAGGTAAAGATCTTCATTCCTATTGGTCGAAGGCCATGTCTAATAGGCATTCAGCAGGCTATCCACGACCATAATAAGGGTTTTGGCGACTTTAGAAGGAGAATTCAAGAATCAAAAGCAAGGATTGTAAGATTTAGGGTTTGGGTTATAATTTGTGCACAAATTTTAGAAAATTTGGAGTTAAGGTGATGAAGTTTTAGTTGTTTGAAGTTAAGGTGTCTTTTTAAGACATATTGTTTCTATTTTGAGGATACAAGGAGTTTTATGGTAGATTTTGGAAATCGAGAGATGCGGCCACAAAGGTGATTTCAAGATCTACATCTCTTACAAAAGAATATCTATATTTAGAGTTTGTATGAAGGAGTTATAAAGCATTGAAGATAGCATATGTAATTCAAAGGCAATAAGTGAGTTGTTTTATTGATAGTAATGGTTGGAGCCATATCTTGAGTTTCTGGGTGAATTTTTCCCTCAAAATCTCTAGAACTCTATGTTATTAGGTTAAGAAGCTATATATTAAACTTTTATAATGTTTGAATACTTATTTTGTGAAATATAAAGAAATTTTCACACATATGTATGTAAGCAAGGGTTTGAAGCTATTGTTAGGGTTTTGACAATATCTCAAGATCCATAATGAATTTGTGGTTGAAATTTGTTGTAATAGTTTTTAAAAATACATCAGTACTTCATGTAAAATTTGGGTTTTTTTGAATAGTCCGATCATAAGATATGAGCTGTTGGAGTTTGGGAGAAATTCACCTGAAGGATATACAAGGTTTTAAAATATTTTTATCATAGTTTTGGTGATCTTTGATACTTAGGGCTTATGTATTGATGTAATTGCCCCTATAGGGACAATTTTATATATAAACTTGATGTTTATTTTTATCTTAAAGCTTGTTGAGTAATTAGTGACAGTTAGAAGCCCAACACTTTCTTAAGGCAAATTCTCTCTACTTCAACAACATTCAGTTCAATAGCTAGATGAATGGCTTCTTATGAATGATGGAAGTAGAACCATCTATATGATATCAAAAAATCATCATTTTCTATGCCATAACTCATTCCATCATAAATCTCATAGGTACTATGATAGATAATAAGATTGGTTGAAATTTTTTTCTTCTACAACAATGCCCTTTTTAAAAGCCCATGATTGAAACTATTGCAATGTATATTTGAATGTTGGCATCTACTCCTTTACATCAATCTTCTTCCTATGTTATTATTTCTTTTCCACCAATTTCTTCTTCTTTGGCTAGTTTATTGTACCAACTCAACATCACCTTCCTTGTCTACCTCCTCACCATCACCATCATCTTGTGTATGCTTGCTTTTCTTGAGGTCAAGTGGTTTGGCATCACATTGGAGAAATGGTGGAAAAATGAGCAGTTCTACATAATTGGTGGTACGAATGCTCACTTAGCTACCATCTTTTAGAGTTTTCTTATACTTATAAAGTAAGTTAATGGCTAGAATCTAATGAGGAAGAATAACTTATAATGGTAATCACTTCCATTATGCTGTGGCTATGCAAGTAGATCTTCCTAATAAACTCAATTATGTCCCCACAAGGAATGCTACCCTGTCACCTTCTTTGCTAATTAGTCAGCAAGACCACCAGAGGGAGGTTGCTACTCCCTTCACCTTGCACGTGTGTTAAGTAGCAAGGTCCACATTATAACATCCTACCAATCACAATCCTCTATATGTTTTAGATATATACATAGCAATATTAAATGTGCTTGTAGCAAGTTGGAATGTTCTTGTACCCTCAACCTAACTAAAGCTATGAATTCTTAAAACTTCTTCTAACAACTTGGATTAATTAGACCAACAGCAATTGGCTAATAAGATATATACAATCTTTTATAAATTATCTCTTATTAACTTTTAGAGATCTTTATACATCTATAAATATTTATTAATATATATATATATATATATATATGGAATAAAATAGAACAAATAAGGAGATATAAATCACCACTTTTTCTTATTTATTTATTTATTTTCTTACATAGAAATCTTAAAATATCAAAAATTATTTATAATGTAAGAAAAAAATTATGATTAAACAACTTAAAGAATAAAGGTAGTAGATTGAATCAAACAAATTATATGATAAGTATTACTAAATAAGATGTTATGATTAAGTTAAATGTGATAACTAAAGAAGTTATAGAATCATTGTGGTTGGTAAATAGTTGAGTAGTAATATTGTGAAGTATGGTTATCTAATGGAATGAATTAATTACAAATTGGATCTTTTATATCTTATGTCTAATTTAATATAAATTAACCAATGGCATTCACTTTTGAAGTCTTGTAGAATATTAAATAATGGTATGTTGAATTGATGTATGAATTAGATATTACATCTTTGTATATTTAATATATATATATATATATATATATATATAATTATTTTTAACAAATCACATAAAAAATTTAACAAAAGAAGGCACTTCAAAAAATATATTAGTAACATAGAACATTATGGTAGCATGATTCATCTACAACATCTAATTTTCTATTTTATTACAAAATCTAATTTTCTATTTTATTACAAAATCTAATTTTCTATTTTATTTTGTTGAAGTCTAACTTCTTCAAAAAAAAAAAAACATTAGAATAGACTAAATAATTATGTTGTTATAATCTTATTTATTTATTTATTTATTTATTCATTTTTATAAGCAATAATTATAAAAATGAAGAAATAAATAAATAAATAAAATAGCAGTAATTAGACCCACATGCGTAACAGCCACAAAAATGCCATGTAAGCAGTCATGATGGTCCTGCAGCCAAGTAGCAACCATGAGGAAGGCAACTTTCCCTGCATAGGTGGCAAGCCACCTCACCAAAGGCCTTATTCCCGTGGCGCCTCCAAAGCAACCAGAAGCTTCTAGACCATCAATCTAGGGCACGAGAGCCGCGTCGTGGTCCTTCTATTCTTGGTCAACACTCCACGTCAGCCGACATCGTGGACCCTCAGTCACCGCTTCCTGACACCTACGCCCTACCCCGTGGGCCACGTTGGCCACGCAGCTCCACGTATGCACACACATACACAGACAGACAGCTTCACGAAGCTTCATCACACTTGGAAGGATTCGTAGTGTCGATGGATGTGTGTGCTGTTGTTGCAGGAATCGGAGTGCGCGATGGAGCTCAATTGCCAGCGAACAATGGAGGCGAGAGAGAGACCCAATTCTAAATTGGAGGTGAAGAAGGCGCTCGCGGGGACCACCACCACGTTGTTTGGTTCGCAGCCGCGGACACGGGGTTTCGGGGGAGTCATTCGTCTGGCGGGCGTGGTTCGGTCGTGGCCATCATCTACCGGTCCGTCCTCTTGGGCCAATTTTCCATGCGGGACACCTTGCTGGTGGTTTTTTTCCTTGTTGTTGTTGTTGTTGTTGTGCAGTTTTATCAGCTGGTTGAACAAACCTTTCTGCGATCGAGTTTCGGTTTTCCGGTTCGTAGTTGGTGTGTGAAGTGTAGCTTGCTGCAAGTGTTTTTTTTCTGTGTCTGGTTCTTGAGAGTGGGTTCGTAAATGAAGGTGTGGCTGGTTTGCTGAAGCTAGGTTGACGATTTGGTTGAGTTTCTGAAAAGCTTGTGAGTGTCTTGATTTCACATTGGGTCTTCGCCTGATAGCTGGAGCATTTCTCGACGCTGTCGGTATGGTTTGCAGTTGAGGTGCTGCATTTTATTGGGAGGGGGGTTGCACTTAATTACACTGGAACCTGTGGCGTTTTCTACTACACTGAGGCAAGGAAGCTTGGGAGATTGAAAGACAGGTCGGTTCGGGGTTGTTGGCGTCCATTTTGAGCTCGATTACAATTAAGCTACGTCGTTTGGACTTGTGCTGAAATCTTTCTAAGAGTGACTCATTGGAGTGAAGGATTACTCAGGACTTTGGATTAGCTGTACCCTGATCGGTTCTTTTTCTTAAGATAACCCAGGTTTGAGCAGAAGTTCGAATTCTTGAAGATCCGAAAAAGAGAGAAGACATTGAAGGCGTTTCGAATTAACTAACAGGTTTCATGGATAGGAGAGTGGAGGAACACTACTGGGCCTATTCGCCTCCAGAGAGTACCTACAATGAAGTAGTGTACAGACCATACAGCGATGGCGTTGACGGGGAGAACTTTTTCCAATCCCTTATCGCCCTTTGCGTCGTTTACTTTATCGCGCGCTTGTTTTTTGACGCAATGGTTGTCTTCATGATTGTGGGCCTCGTCGTGGTTCTCATCACGCAGCTCCTTCACAATGTTTCGCCTTCCACTTCCAAGTATTATAGGTCTTATATTTAGTTATTTAGGAGGAGTTTACGGAGGAGAGACTTGTTTTGTATATCTTAAGAACGGTATTAATTTTGGCTGTTTTCCTTTTTTCCACCTCAATTGATCAGAGCGTCTTTGTACACTTGTCCTTCACATTCCATCCGTTCCTCCACATGGTTTCGCTAATTTCGATTACACCCTCTTTCCGACTTTACCTGAAGTTGCGTGCGAGCTCTTGAAAACGATCTAGTACAAGATTAAGGTTCTGCTTTCAGCTCAATTATTCTATATTTTCAGTGAGAGGAGGGAAGCCACAGAAGAGATCTCCTTGTCTAATTGCCATTAAGTGAGGTAGGATGAGGAGCGACTCCATATTCATGCCCCGAAATCCAGAAGCTCCATCACAAAATTTATATTTGAGCTTACAGAAATCTCACATGAGGGCAAAATATGGAGACAAGAAACATCTGCATTCAGATTGATGAACTCCACTACACATTTTAGAAACAACACGAACCAAATTCACATGACTTGAAACAATCCACGTAAATGTGTTCCTCAAAGCAAAGTTCGAACATAAGAACTAGATGCAGCGCAGTAAAATAAGTGGTGAATGAACAAAAACAGATGTGATTTACTTCTTGCAAACATCGTACAGCTGATTCATATCACCTAAACGCTATTTGCTTAACTAGAAGCCCGAAAGGTATCTGCCATTAGTATGCGAACCTTTTCTGTATAGGACCTATATACTAATCTTGATACAACGCGCAAGCCTGCCACACTACAAGGTTTGAATATAGCATCGTAGATCAGACCATTTACAACTAATACGAATTTAATTCTATAAATGCGGGGAGTGCACCACTGGCTTCACCTGTGACTCCTCCTTCTGGTTACCCAAAGTGTTCTCGAAACGCCTGATGGAAAAAATTTCCAGTGGCACATTTGAAGCAGTTCCATTGAGGGCGAGGTCCGCCATAATGCGTCCAATCAACGGACCCATCTTAAATCCGTGTCCTGAAAATCCTGCTGCCACTAGGATTGACCCATTTGTGCTGCACATGGCGTTCGGTTTCAAAGGAAGGAAGTCTAGAATGAAATCCTCGTCTGGAGTCATGGAGTACATACACCCTAGTGCTGTAATCGGAGATTCAGATTGCACAGTTCCTGCAAACCGACTCACAAGCCATGGGCTTACTTCCTTCCGCAGAAGATGCATATCCGGCGCGACAACACGCTTGTTGGGGTCGCAAGGAGTCCCACTATGTACAGAAACTTTGATTTGACCAGGGTACTCAATTGAGGGTGTACCGTAAATGTATGGCAGACCGTAGTCTGCAAAGACTGGGAAGCCCTTGGCTGCAGATAAAACATCTGGATCGGAGTCTACTACTTCCCAGTACGCGATTGATGTGTGCAACGGCTCAATGGGGAGCTCTAAACCTGACAATTCTCTCACAATCTGAGGAGTCCAAGCGCCAGCTGCTAATACGCAAGTCCTTCCGAAAGCAGTGCCCCGGCTGGTTTCAACAACATATTCGAATGAACCATCTGAGGAAGATAAACTCGTAGATACTTGCACAAGCTTGGCTCTGTCTCGAAGTGTTGCGCCATGTCGAAGCGCAAGTGCTTGAAACATAGCTACAGCCTTAGATGCCCGGATGATTCCTCCCTGTTTTGTGTACACTATGAGTGAGTCTTCAGGCAATTTCAAGATTGGAAACCGGGCTTTACATTCTTCGTGGGTGAGTACTTCGTGTTCGATATTCTCCTCTACCAGATTAGAAACTACCGAGTGCAAGCTAGTGCTGGATTGCGGACCAAAGTCAAGTTGCCCAGTTTGATGGTATACCATGTATCCAGCTTCAGTCTCAGCTTCTTCCCACAGTTGGTACGCTTCCTTCATCATTTTAGTGTAATAAAGTTCTGGATATGTTACCCGGATCGTTCGAGACTCTCCATGTGAAGACCCTATATGATGAAGAAAATCAAACTGCTCGAGTAGGAGAACAGACTTCCCCCGTTTAGCTAATTGGTAAGCCGTGGAGCTGCCTATTATTCCAGCACCAATGACAATCGCATCGTAGGTGCCGGTGACCGCTTCGCTCTCCTTTTGAGTGCCATCCATCGATGTGTGCGTGCCCAAACTCACGAGCTCCCTCACGATGAGCGTTTCCTTCACAATTTACAGATCCTGATCCGCTGGACAGACAACCCTAATTTCTCCACCAGTCCAAGTGGAAAGGGTATCTAGCAAGAAAGATCGTCTACCTACACGACTATTACTCAACGAATCTTTGACGATCTCTTGATTGCAAGTTTTTTATATCTTCATCAGAACCAAGCTCCAAGTCAGAAAACGTCGAACAATCACCGGCAACCTGTCTAGTACACTATTGACCAGTGATTAGGGCTTCATAAATTGCCTGTAAACACAAATATGAAAAAAAATTCCATCTGCACTGATGTATTCAAAGGCTAATGATTTAGTGTGTGGCAGATTCGGAGGTCAAAGCGTTTAGGGATGGCCTCTTACCAAAGAGAAGATGTCACCCTACATGTAGTGTGCCAATTTCTGCTTCGTGAAGGGCGTCTGCAATGACGCCAGCGATGGCGACGCACGTGCGAATCCACACCTGCAATTTCTTCCACACTGACGCCACAAAGACCAGCAACACAGGCCACCCTAACTTCATAGCTGTCTGGTAAATGCTGCTCCCCTTCAGACCATCGCATCAACTCGTCCAGGTGAACGAAACGTACCTACGCTAATTCAGAAAAAGTCGTGTCGTCAAGCACTACGTAGTGGATTATTTCCGGTGAGACTATTCACAATGCATACAATCTTCTGAACCTAGTTTGTAATCTGTGAGCGTACTATGAACAAATCTATCCAAACGAAAATGCACGAGACGAAGAACGGCTCAAGCTACCAGGAAAGAGAATGAAGGCTGAAAGGAGCTATACGCCATGTCCGCCGTAAAAACCTAAAACCCACGAAGCTCCGGACAGATAGTAGAACAAATCACCACGCTATCAACGGAGGACAACGAGCACTCCTAAACAACTTGTCCGCCAAAGGTGAATATCCGAACATCCGAGACGAATACACTATGAGACTCCTTGGCAACGTAAAAGATAAGCCAGCTGCGTAAAATGAAACGAGAAGTTCCAAAAGCCTGTAGAAAGGACCTCTTGCTTTTTCCACTTCTCTTCAGAAGATGGCCAATCGCATTGATTGATGCCAACGAATTCTACACTCCCATGTTAACGCAACCTATCAAGCGCCAAGAAGAAGCGCTCAGCCAGATGCGTAATACGAGAAATACTTGGATGTGGGGTAAGTACAGGAGCGCATCGAATTCGGATAAAGAGCATCTTCGGCATGTTGCAAGCTCCTCGAGCAACGTATCTTGGAGGAAACCCTAGACAAGGTCTTGTGATAACGTCAAAAGGAGTTGATCCGGGGACTCAACAGCAGCTTTAAGTTGTTCGTTCTGGTACAGTCATTCAAGGGGTCCAATCGCTCATTGAATGATGACAAGGTCATAATCGAAACTCAGATATTCCATTGAAGCCGACACCGTAACTTGGGTAAAACCTAAATCGTTCCGACAAAGGAATAAGGAATGAGTAATGTTCTAGGATACAACTCCTCACAAGAGGATAATTCTACCAAAGCACCAAGTCAAAATTCTAAGAGCGACGTCGTAGGAGGCACAGAAATTTAACAGCAAGAAATTCTAATCCCCAGTAACCAATTGAGAATCGTGAACCCAGCACTTGCTACGTAACAAATACGAGCTCCTCATTTACAGAAATCTCCGAAGAAGCAAAGAAACGAGAATCGTAACACCAGTGGTGTCAAAGCGTCTCAAAGTTCGAAGGAAATTGTACACAGTTGAATTCATCAGCAGAGAATAGTAGTGCACAAATTGCGGAATGGGCAACCCAATAGTGTGCTTAGTAGCAATCACACATTCGAGCGTAGGTCACTACGCTACACATAACGGGGGCACACCGACGGCGTTGTCACCACCGTCTACAGTGGGCAGTTCTATTCGTGGCAGCTCGACTATTACCTTCCTTATGTATGTAACAATGTTCGGGATTGAAATTGCGGCATTTATTGACAAACTGCTGATAGCGACAATAATCTGAACTTACGAAATTAAGATTACGAAAATGATCATCGTCACCATGCGTGGAAAGGGATAGAATTCACCTGCTGACATTATCAATCAGTTCTTCCCAGAGGACCAGACCTGGAGACTTTTCCAAGTAACGGAGATCAAGTGTTCCGAGGAAGCAACGGTAGTCATGTTGAGAGTTCGCAACTTTGAGTACACAAACTGTAAAATGGATTAAAATGAATACAGAACTTTCTTACTGTGAACTGCAATCACGATTGGAAGCAGAAGGGAGAGGCACAAGAGGGGATTTCCACACTAATTACATTGAAGAGTAGAAAGACATCACAGTCCACGGAGACTTTGGCCGATAGCAACTCCCGCACCACCTTCGAACTCAATTGGAAACTCCAACGACTAACATATGAACTATTGCTAGTGCTCACACTTGATACTTCTAATCAGCAACAGACCTATACTCAAAGGCTAGTGTGTAGCTGGGTACATGCGTAGAAGTGCTTAGGCCAGGAGCCTAGAACCTCAGCAGCTTCATCTGAATGTTGGCTTCAGTGCGGCAGTGTAACATTCATTTGTACATGAGTTGGCTCAGCGCTACTGTAAACTAGTTTTCTGTAACAGTTCACCAACGTTTGCTCCATCGCCTCAAGGGATGTCAAATCGGATTCTTGGGAAATTTCTTGCGGTCACTTGTAAAACCACGTTTTGTACTTGACTTCTAATTCACAGCAAGAAAGAACGCGCTTTGCTCAAACATTCTCCGGGGCGAAAAAAATGAAAAAATCATTAATCAACGCTCATTACCTGGTTTTGCGTCTGCAAGGCATTCAACGGTCTTCCTTGGGCCTGACTTTTGGAGTTGGGAGGGGTATTCGAGGGTCCAACCCACACTTCTTCAACAGCCTGGCTCTCACTGAACTGTTGGACTTGGTATTCTTTTTGCTTGTTACGTGTGCACGAGGTGAGGCAGCTGAGATAACAGCAGGCTTTGCAAGAGACATTACAATTGGCTTTTTCTCCTACACGAAAAAAATTAAAATGTCAGCTCAACTAAGTGATGGGAGGTCAGGAGGTAAGGGACAAGCCTCTTTACCGGAAATAGAATTATCCGCAGGGACAAGCCTCTTTACCGGTTTCTTTGCAGCCGGTGTTCGCTGTCGTTTCGACCAAGGAGATTTTATCTCTTCTATTTGGAAGTCCATGTCATCATCCTCTGCTAGCACATCCTCAGACGGGTCAAACTCACCATCGTCCTTGTCCTCTGGGGATTTCTCTTCCTCCGAATCCTCATCCTGCGCGTGACTAAAGCAAATCAACATTTATACCTACATGCAATCAGAAGCTGTAATTTTCAAAACATCATGTGAAAATGTGGGGGCTTGAAATGGGTGTGGTACCTCTGCCAAGGTTGGCCACTGTGAGACAGGCTTTTCAGCTGACAGTGGTCGCAACTGTGAAGCAAACATCAAAACTGTTAAGTTATTAAACTAGGAATTCCGAGCCACAAAAGAGTTCGTTGAAATCACCACTCGGGTGGACAACCAATCAGCAAATAGAAAATCCGGCAGCATTTGGGTAATTGACTACATTGAAACAATTTCAAGTTGAATCCACTTGAGTGCCTAGAAATACGTGTTCCAAGAAACCCAAAAATCTATTCTCGAAATATTGACCTCAAATTCCATGTAGCAAAAGCGATGATTCAACCAACCATCCACAATTTATCCAAATTTCTTCAAATTTTTAAGTTAATACATAATGAAGATATGATAGATGAGATTCGTACCATGAGACGGAATTTTGGGGCTGTTCTAGAATCAACAGGTGGACCAGAGAATCCCTCCTTCTGAATAAAGAAGTCAGAAATTTAGCATTCGTCAGCCCCAGCATTCAACCTACATGTTAAAGGAATTCTGTAACCAGATCGCCACAATGTGGCCAAGGAAGTATTATGATACTTAAAATAAAAGTATCTATCTTACGGTTCCTTTGTAGAAACTTTGATAACCTCATAAAACCTCCATAAATCTTAAAGCTATGGAGCTAGAGAAGACCCAAGTGTTGCCAAGCAATCGAGTATATCATGTGTTGAAAGACTGTTTACCTTCAGACAATCCTCCAATTCTTTCACTAGGTTCGCAGGGTTCTCGGGAGTACTGGGTAAGTCGCTTCCGTCCTTCAACTGCACAAACAGTGCCGCCTGTCCCTCAGGTAATTTGATACTTTTGCTGACACTAATGCTACGCTAATTCCTAAGACGATATTTTATTCTAGAAATAAGACTCATATATCACATGCGTGAGTATTAGAAATGCCCAGGCAATATTTACCTCTAAGCGACATTGAAATTGCTTGAAGACATTTAAATGAACACAAACATTACGATGACTTCCCAGTTTTAATGACGATATCTGACCTGTCGCAGCCAAGCTTGAAGGCACGAACAAAGACTGACGAGACCTTCCTTCTCCCATCTACTCAGAGAAGAGAGTGTTTTCTCCTCATTGATGTTCGTGTCCGCAGTAACGTCCGCATTGTGTCGAAATTGAGTTAGATAAAAACCGGCTGTGTGCCTGCAAACCCTCATGCCTTCTTGTTTAGCGTAACATGGTCCTGCAGTCCATGAAAGTAAGTAAGGCTGCCTTTTAGCACACTGTTCTTTGCATTCGCTTAGACCATGGGAAAGCTGAAAATTTCCTACTCTAAGCAAGGGAACAAGTTTCTTTGCGCACCACATCAGCTGCTTGTATAGAGGGAACCGGAATTTGGAGCGAACTTTCAATCTCTCCTCCATATGCCATGTGATCCAATTACATAGTTAAGGGGAACCAAAGATCTAGATTTTGAAACTTCAATAACCACATATGCAGTATAGCAAGCACAAAACCACATATTAGAGATGATTTCATAATCTGATGCTGCGACGACACATATTAATCAACTATGCTTTCCTCTTAGTATCACTCAAGAGAAATCCTACTCTTCCTAACGTGATCCAGTTACTTGTGAGCCTTCATAAAAAAGCTGGAGTCCAGTAATATTGATACTTCTCAAATTCAAGTCAAATGCAAGAAACTAGACTTGTGCATTTATTCAAGGTGGATATATGTCGAGCTGCAGTGATAGGTTATAGCCAGTCAGGAAGTTGCCGCCCAACACCAAGGAGTCTTCCGGGGTCACCACACAATGAGGCCATCCGCCAGGTCTGAACAGATGCAGACACATACCGAAGTCAAGTAAGAAAAAGGTTCGTTTTGTTTTCGCAGAAATGCAACAAGCCATCATCATTCTCGATTGATGATATGAGCGGCACCTTAATGAGTTAGATCCTCAGTGGAAAACATGGTAGTATGACTTACATTTGTCCGTACAAGATCGCTGGATAAACATATTACTACAACAACAAATTATGACAAGTATTAGAGCTACTGATTAGGTCCTAATACAACACTGATAATAGGTTATCTTACAGCATAAGGGTGTCTCCAGCACTCAGTTCCAACTTTTGACATCCTGTTACTCTGTCTGCAAAGAAAACGCTGACCTGCATTGTTATTTTAAATTTAGTTCAGCCACAAACCATGGAAATTCTAGATAAGAGCAATCTCAACGGAAGGATAGAACACAACATTTGAACAACGGATTGCGGGAGAAAAGATATAAATAAATAAATAAATAAATAAATAAAGCATTCCATGGCATTGGCGCTGTTTTGAGGGTTCAAGGAAATGACTGTGAAGGCCAGTCAACAGTTTCTGCTTTGATGTTTCGGTGGGAAATGATCTAAGAGATAACCAAGCTCAAAATTCAAGACGCTTTCAAATGCCCTAAAAAAATCTGGTAACGAAGAACCAAAAAAATGTGCTTGCCTGCTTGTCGGAAGATGACCACTCTTCAAATGCCATCAAATTAGCTTTAGTTGGAGGAACCAACAGGAACACCTTACTTCCGCTGGCACATTTCAATCAGACCATGATATCGCTCAGTACGTGAGTTATTACATAGAACAAACATACAAGAACAACAAGCGAAGGGCATCGGAAACGGATACCACATTAAAGCATTGAAATAAAACACAAAGGACCAGGATTAGTGGCTGCCAACTGGTCGCTCTAACCGAAAGATGAGAGAAAAGGCGACAAACCTCAGAATGTGATACCAAACTGAAGAGCCTCCAAAGTCAATATGGAAATCCATAAAGCAACCCGCGACGCTCAGCAACGCATACAACTGTACCTGCACGACGAACCCATAAACAACATACTCACTACAAATCACGATACCGAACATGCAGTATGCAGTATAACTACGCCTACATGATGTTCTTGATGCTCCAAATTTTTCTATCATCTCTAGGATTAGGGGCTTACGACACAGCAATGTAAGATAGGAAGATTTAAAATGTCAGGAGCAGAAGTTCCTCGTCCTGTATCTCACTGTCTGCTTTCAGAGGGCACCCGTGAGATCCAAGCCAAATTTGATAATAAGCAGTTCTACTGTGATGTAATATTTCTATTTGAAGATAAAGAAGAGTTTTGGTAACGAAAGATACCATTGGAGTAGGAGTCAGAGAAGGAGGCCAAGCCTTGTTCACGAGGTCAAGCTCTTGGACTAAGGAAGGCACACTGACCTGTTCATCGGAGGAAAAAGATGTAAACCATCTAGAGTACAGGCAATAATAAACAGACAAATTCCAACTCATTAATCTGATATTAAGGAATTCGTTACATTCCTCCAAAAAAATACCACCAAAGAACATATTCTTAAACCTTACAGTCTAACAGCAATTTATAAAGCTAGCCGCCTGAAGTCACAAGCTGTGCCTAGAGAAGTACAGTTAGGGAATGATTACCCTCTAAACAGCATGAAAAGGAAAGAAGATCTTATGACCTCCAGAATTTAGAAAATGCCAAACGTCAGATGATTAGGGTTTCATCGAATCACCATGTCATGAAGTGAAGTATTGGCCAGGTCAAGAGAAACTATATTTAGGAGAGGCTTTCTGGGGCTTGGGGACGCAAAATAAGCCGCCAATTCGTCCATTGTATAAACTGGTCCTTCAGACTGCGATAAGAACAGAAAGTAATTCAAACCCCAGGCTGTTGCTCCAAGAGAAACGAGCTGAGACCAAAGCTTTCCTACTATATCGTTTGCAGCTCAGGATCATTGCCACACTTCCCCAAGCCAGGTTATAGCACTTGCATGTATTAAAGTAGCTTCTATGAGAACAGTGGTTGAATATAAAGAATATGTTACGCATAATCTTCTTCACTCTTAATGTAAAATTTTGAATCACATCAATAGCAAAAAAATAAATAAATAATCAAACAGACAATCTATCATTTGTATAAATCTAGAAGAAGGGATCCAGAAAAGTGTATCAACCTGTGTTGACACATCGATAGTATTCACTTGTCGGTTGCGTCCAACAAGTTCAGCAACTCGATCCACTGTGAGTTTTTCCTCAGGCACCCTGACACCGTAACCATGTGAACAAAGTGAGAATAAGGGGACGAGAGCCGCATAATTGTGAAAGTGTACGGTATAATAGAAGCTGGAAGAGGGTAATACCCACCAATCAATAGTTTATCTAAAAATATGAACCAGTGTGACTGTCTCAGACTTGAAGAATTCCACCATTGCCAGGCCTACGATGTATAGGAGCACCTTGGTTGTTGATATGAGTATCAATAGATTATTGACTAAGAAGAGTAAGGGACATTGGATGTAATTTCAGCAGAAACCTCGAATCATGATAATGCAGCAAAGGAAGAAAAAGGCCAAACCTAATGCCAAGTGCACTCCGGGAATTGTCAGCGGCACGAACAACACAAGGATTGGCAAATCCTGTCAAGTGTACATGAGATGCAAGCTCATTGGCTGCTACGGTAGACACTGCGAAGGCTTCCTCCTGTGCCTGGCCTGTGAACTTCACAACAGCTCTAGCAAGCTTCTTGTGCTGCACACGTATGCAATCTGCAAACCCAGAGGTATCTAAACGCGCATAGTCCACAGCTACTCTCTGCCTTTTGGACCTCCTTGTATGCTCCATTCCTCCTTGCTCCATAGCTTAGTTGTCGCTTTTTTTACGCCCACAATCTTGTTCTAAAATATAGGCTCCAGTGGTAAAATGATCTAAAAATACCAACAGAATACAGCTGAGACCAAAATCTGGCCCGATTCTCATGAGTGTGACTTGATGAGAAATTTTATAATACAAAATAAAAACTGAGCCTACACATTAAAAGAGGGAGGTGCAGAGGAAAAGATGACTTGTACCTCTGAAATAACAATCGACTCACTTAATTTTAAGATGTATTTTCTGCGACATTAGACAACAACGATGAAAGTCGATACCCCTTTCCCGAAAAATACCGCGGGAATCTCACACCCCCTTTCCGAAACACTAATCAAAGAGGAACAGCATACCACATCAATGAGACACTTCCTTGGCTTCATCAACGAAAATATCCATGACACGTAACCATTCTGCACAGTTTACATCTGCATGAGAATCTTTTTCAACAACGTCTCCACACAGTCGAGATTTAGTGACGAGGACACACGGACAAGACTGGCAAAAGTACCATCACAATCAACAATGAAAAGATCTGCGTGCCGACAGAATCTCGATTATTACTAATAATAAAAAATCCCATTAATAATCGCTAGGAATAAGAAAGAGGAGCTCAAGAAGAGGGACAACTCCACATAAAACGTACCCTGAGCACGACATCCTTAAACTCCAAACCACGACTAGAACTAACAACACACAAATCCCACACCATTACAATCTCGCCACAAAAACAACGACGAAGAGGGGGGAAAAAAAAAAAAAAAAAAAAAAAAAAAAAACTCTCACGACAGCAACGAAATCGAGGGCCAAATTCTTCGAGAACACACCAAGACTCACCTCAGAATCCTCACCACGCCAAGCCCCAGAGGGCAAGAAGCCTCTCCACCTTGCGAAGCACGACTGATTCCTGCAGCCCAGGCAATGGAGGTGCTCGAATCTCCTTACATGTATTGACCCACATGCGCTTCGACGGGCAAATTCGTTTTTGGGTTGTGCGAGGGCGCAAATTCGTTGCAAAATTGAGGCGCCGGGGCGACGCGGGCTGGGAATCGCGCAGCTTTAGAAGCGTAAAACACGAGAAAAGTGGGAAGAAAGGGACAAGTGGGGTCCGTTGCCGGGGACCACACGAGACCTGCTGCTCCCGGTGTCTGTGTGTGCTCGTAGATGGTTCCCTCCATCATCTATCTATCTACGGACCCTCACTCACTCACTTGCCCTCCCTCACCTACGTACATACTGGGGATAAATGCCCGCCGTCGTCCCCGCCTTGGATGGGCGGCAGCAGCAGGGGAAGAAGGGAAAGGGAAAGAGGGGGAAAGAGTTGTGGCTCCGCGATACCTCCGTGCTCGAGGGAGGAAGCGCCGGAGGTGTGTGTGTTTGTGCTGACTTGCACTAACGCCGCGGATATATCCACACACACACATGAATCTTAACCCACGTAGCCATGAATTGTACAAAAGCCGATGTGGTACTCCTGCCAAATTCTCCCCAACAACTTAGATAAAACAACCTTATCCTTCCTTTCATTAAACGTGCTTTGTGTAATACCTTCACATAATCGGTTCACAAACAGCATCTCCTTTGTATGTTACCCATCTGCCAAATGGTTCATACTTTGTAGACCTAAGTTGATTTTGTGCATAAAATTTGCAAGTACCTTGTTGTGTTGTAATACTCCTATTAGAAAAAAGAAATGATTATATTATAGAAGAGTTTAATTGACAATATTGTAACAAATTATTTTAGAAGTGTAGATCATAGTCAAAGAGGTAGTAAAACTAGTAAGTGTAAATGTTGCATCTTTGCAAAATGAGCTTTTATTTACTTTATATGGTCATAAATGAGGCAAAAAATAGAAAATAAAAAATAACTAATATAAGATCTTAAGAAACAAGTTAAGAGTATTTTATAGCAAAAATTATCTTAAGAATACAAGAATTGATATCCCAAGAGAACCGGTTGTAAAATAAGGTTGAAATTTGATCCCAAGGCATAAAACTGCATAACTACAATAACTCTAGAGTTCTTTGGTAAATTGGAAGGTGAGGTTTGAGAGCAAACTAGAATGAGGTTCTTTGGGTGTTGATTTTGAGTGATTTGAATTTGTAATGACATGTATAGACTTTGCAAAATTAGGAATGTTTTTAGATGACTTTGGATTTTGAAAAATATAAAGAATTTCTACTTTAGAGAATTTTGTAAGATTGATATATGATCTATAAGTCAAAGTTTTTAGTTGGGTGATTTTTGTTGTGCTAAATGTGTGCCATAAATTTGAGTATGATCAAATAGATCATTTGAAGGTGTCAAGGACATGAATCTCGAAGAAAGGGAATCCTCAATACACTCTTCTATCACTGAAGAGAACTAGAAAGTCACTCAAAAGGTGATGTAATATAAACTAGAATGGCTATTGCCAAAAATAAGAAGACTAAAAAGTCTTGAAACAAGACCAAGACTAGAAAGGCGTTGACAAGAGTGAAGAAGGCTTCACTCTGTCACGGACATAATCATATAAGCTAGTAATTATATATACAAATAGGTAGAAGTAAGTAAAAGTAGGTAAAAGTAAGTTAATTCTATAGTATTTAATATGGAAGCTTCTTAGAAGCTTTATAGATACTACTTTGACTTCATAGGTGTCTTTAATTGACTTTTTGGATTAGAAACGTGGTCAACAAGTTGGCCATGTGCCACACATGTTGTTAGCTTGAAGATTAAGCTAATTATGTGGCCCACACGTAGAAAAACTTGCCTTGTAAGTCAAGGCATGTGTCCTACAAAGTCAACACATATTGGAGGTCCTATAGAATGTCACCACGTAGCCCCTAGTTAGATAGTATATATAGAGACAAGAGTGAAGGCTTCTTCACTCTTGTCTACTCCTTTTTTGCTTCTAGTCTAGTTTCAAGGGTCTTTAGTTTTCTTATCTTTTGGCAATAGCCATTCCAGTTTCTCTTTCAATATATATCCTTGTTTATATATATTTTGTTACCTCTCTTTGAGTGAAGGCTCACTTGTCTGAATTATTTTTTCATCGAGTTCTTGTCCTTGACAGATTGACAAGAGTACACCTACAATATCAGAGCTTTCTCTAATCTTGATTAAAAGTGGATTACCTCTTTTTTCTTGATAAGATATAAGCATATTAGAAGTTGCGGATTACCCTCTTCTAAACTGATATTGTCCTTAGTATTTTCTTTGTTCTCAAGTCCTCTCTTCTATTTGTCTTGAGCGATATTAGACATCTTCTCTCTTCTAAGTGTTATCATGGCAGAACTTGTTGAAATGAACAGTGCAATGGCACAAATGCAAAAGCAATTGAGGGAGTTAATGCTTACGATGCATCAACTCAATTTACCACCACAAGGAACAATAAGATTGGCAAGAAGTAAAGATATAGAAATGGTTAGAGCTGCTTCAACATTTGCACCAAACCATGTCCTTTCTCCTATGGTGGAACACCCTTCAAATGTTAGAGAACCAAGAATTGCCCTACCCGAGAAGTTTGATGGCACCAGCTCCAAGTTTTGAGGATTTATCAATCAAGTGCAACTTGTGATTGAATTTCAATTCCAAAGCTATGCAACTCCAGGATCGTAAGTTAGATTCATTGGTATGCTTCTTTCAGATTCAGCACTATCGTGGTTTTCATCTTTTCTTGAACGACGAGATCCAATATTGGATAATCTAGATGCTTTTTTGGCAGAGTTTCGATCCATGTATGGAAAACATGATGCAATTCGTGTTGCAACCAATAAGATTCATATTTTACGACAAGGTAATCGATCAGTAATGTTATACGCTTCACAATTTCGACAACTTGCAATTGATATCAAGTGGGATGATGCTCTATGGATTACAATATGAGATAAAAAAGTTAATGCTCAACTTATCTAATCGTCAAACAGTGAGTCAAGCAATTGACTTTGCTGTGAAGTGCGACAATCGCCTTTTTGAATTCTGATCTGAGAACCGTACAAGTGGACCTCAACGTTACTTTAATTCAATGGCAATACCAACACCTCTTCAACACATACATTCGAAGGTAGAGGATATGCAAATTGATGCAGTACGTTTCAAATCTCTTACTGAGCAAGAAAAGACTCGTTGTCGTCAAGAAGGATTATGTTTATATTGTGGAGAACCAAAGCACACTCTTCAACATTATCCAAAGAAACAACGCAATCACAAAATGAGGAGTATGGCTGTGAAAGAAGACAATATGTCGAAAAACGAGTTTGTCCAGCTACAATAGGGACCGTGCGGCTGAAACCTTATACAACATCTAGTAAAGGTCCTATTCTCTCCTCAGAGCCTTCTCCTTATATTACATTAAATGTTATTTTAGGACCTAAACATTACAAAGTCTCTGCCTTGTTAGTTTCAGGAGCCTCAACGTATTTTTTAGATGAAGAATTTACTAAAAGACATAGCATATCTTTAGTAAAAAAAACTAAACCTATTCATGTAGAAGTCATAGATAGTCGTCCATTGTCTTCTGGAGATATTACTCACGAAACCCTTCCTATAGAAGTAATAATCAATAGTCATAATAGTTTTGTAGTATTTAATATCATTAGATCTCCCTCTAATCTAGTCATTTTAGGTTTATCGTGGTTAGAAAAATACAACCCTCAAATAGAATGGATTTTCCAAACTCTTACTTTCTCTAAAAGTATAAGTAACAGTGTAGTTAATCAAGTAGAGAGTCATAAGTCCAGTTCAATTAAACCCGTATTTATAGGTGCAAAAGCTTTCTTGCATGTTACTATGAAAGAATCACCATATATTATTTATGCCACACCCGTTTCTACTAGTGAAAAGACTTCAAGTAGCATTCCAAGCCAATATCAAGAATTTCAAGATGTATTCAAAAAAAAGAATGCGGTTACACTCCCGGAACATCGTCCCTATGATTGCTCAATTGACCTTCAAGAAGGAGCACAACCGCCAATCGGACCAATCTACAATTTATTACAAAATGAGTTGGCTGAACTCAAGGAGTATATTGAAGAAAATCTAGCCAAGAATTTCATACGCCATTCTAAATCTCCGGCAGGAGCTCCAATTCTATTTGTGAAGAAAAAAGATGGATCATTGCGGATGTGTGTTGATTATCGAGGACTCAACAAGATTACCATCAAGAATAGGTATCCACTACCTTTAATATTTGGACTTCTTGATCAGCTGAATCAAGCTAAGATCTATACAAAAATAGATCTTCGGAGAACATACAATCTAGTATGCATCAAAGAAGGAGATGAATGGAAGACTGTGTTTCGAACTAGGTATGGACATTTTGAATACAACGTCATGTCTTTTGGACTTACAAATGCACGAGCAGCTTTTCAACATTTAATGAATAATATTTTTCGAGAGTTTTTGGACGATTTTGTAGTCTGTTATCTAGACGACATCTTGATCTATTCTAAGAATCCAGAAGAACATGAACTTCATGTTTGTCGTGTGTTACAAAAATTAAGAGATGCAGGACTCTATGCGAAGCTAGAAAAGTGTGTATTCCACACTACTCAAGTCGATTTCTTAGGTTACATCATTTCAAATGATGGACTTATGATGGATTCTAAGAAAGTTCAAACTACTATAGACTAGAAGATCCCAAAAACGGTAAGAGATGTCCAATGTTTTTTGGGATTTGCCAACTACTATCGGATCTTCATCAAAGACTTCTCTCGAGTTGCAGCTCCACTTACATGTTTGACTTGTAAAGACAAACTCCAATGGAATCAAGAAGCGGAAGTTACTTTTGAATCTTTGAAGACAGCATTTATTTTTGCACCAATCTTGTATCGTGTTGATTTTTTCAAAGCATTCTTTATGGAAACAAATGCATTGGACTTTGCTCTGAGTGTGATTTTATCACAAATGGGAATAGATGACAAACTTCATCCAGTAGCCTTTCATTCAAGAAAATTCTCAACAGCAGAAATCAATTATGAGATCCACAACAAAGAACTTCTTACAATTATGGATTCTTTTCAAGAATGGCATCATTATCTAGAAGGCGCTTCCAGTCTAGTCACCGTGTATACGGATCACAAGAACCTCAAATATTTTATGTCAGCACGCGTATTAAATTGTTGCCAAGCTTGTTGGAGCATGTTTTTATCAAGATTCGAGTTCATCATCACTTATCAGCCAGGAAAACAACAAGGTTTATCCGATGCCTTGTCTAGACGTTTTGATCTTGCACCAAAAGAAGGAGATGGAGCTTTTGAGCAACAAAGAACGGTTCTCTTGAAGTTGAAGCAATT